CTTCTGAGCCCAGAAGCAGACCTTCTATAGAGTAGAAGATTCTCAGAGCTAATCCTGAATAGTCTGAAGAGGTGTGCAGGACTCTTCCTCGGGTGGTTGGGCTGGGTAGTGTTGATAGCAGACGTATGGGGCCCATACCTGGAGATAGGGGTAGGTGGGTGGGACATTCAGTTCTGAGGCAAGGCAGGGGTGGGTAGAGTTGGCACTGGGAGTCTGGAGTCCCTATCTAAATAGGAGGTGTAAAGAACGTCGAATGATTGCAACTCACTGATTTTCACCTTTTAAATATCTTTACTTCATTGTTGATTCTTTTCTGTTAAAAGCTGTATACATTAGTAAGTGTAAAATACCAATACCGGATTTAAGTATGCAGCACTTTTTGTTCTCAGTGTAATTATAAATATTTAGAAATTTAGATTTTTTCTCTTGGTTTACCTAGTCTCTGCTGTCCCTATAATTAGAAAGCTATCAGCTATGCATTCTAGAAATCTATGGATTTTTTTTCTTTTGATTTTTACCACAGATGGCAGCTTCAATCCCATATACTGCAGAGCTCTGCATAGGAGCCCAGACTTTTGGTATGCTTATGTAACCTATCAATGTAACTGCAATAAAGTTTATAGTTGATGATAAATTATACAAACAGTAGTTTTACAAGTTTATTTTTTTACAAAAGAATTCATAATGATAGAAACAAATGGTATTACAAATGCTAAAAAATATAAAATATGTATTTATAAAAATAAGTAATTTTCAAAAGTAGCACGCCAAGTGGTAAACATTGTATTTTTAACATATAACAATCCAGACCTATCAAAACTGAATTTTAGTAGGACATTATAAATGGATCATCATAAACTGAAAGAGTGTAAAGCTGGCTTGACATGTCAAACACAAAAGGCCTCCTTTGCCGTTCACTTCTGAAGCATTTCCATTAGCTGCAAGAGTTGTGCTGTCAGATTACTTCACTGTGGCAGGGACTTTCCTAGAGGAGATAGCACTGACCTGAAATGGCAGACTGTGAAGTCAGCAGACTTCCTTTCAAAACATACTAGCAATGTAAACTTAGACAAATTATTAACCATTGTCTCCAATCACTCAGCTATCAAATGGGTGTCATTGTTGATAATCATTTCACATTAGTGAAGATATGACTATATTAATAATGTGTAAAATGTTTTATATGCCTTATAAACAACTGGCATTTTATTTAATTAGGTTTTTGAGACAGGGTCTCACTGAGCCCCTAGAACTCTCTATGTAGACCAGGCTGGCCTTGATTTCACAGAGATCTGCCTTTCTCTGTCTCCAAGTGCCTGGCCCAATTGGTATTTTATTACAGAATCCTGTTTATGTCTATATTTTTCACATTTCACAATATGGTCTGCAAATTGGTTTATACTCAAGCTCCTTGAGTGCACACACCCTTTACTTATCTTTCCTTTGCAAATAGAATATTTCTTAATACATCCTGGGTTCATATACTCAGTTTTCATTTAATAAATACATCTTAAGTGCTTGCTGGGGCCCAAACACTAGACATGGTCTCTACTTTGTTCTGTGAACATAGATGCACTTCCTATCATGTTACCTGACATATATCAGAGGATGAAACAAATAGGTTTGTTTCATAAATACTGCTCTAGAGAAGGTGGGCATTGCCTGGGTACATAAAGGGTGTGTATCTGATTAGGTCTGGGAAGTAAAGAACCAGTGAATCTTTGAGACCCTCAAGGATGAGTGCTCTTCAGCCCGTAGAGAGTGTGAAAGCCTGGGGTATTAAAACTAAGGAGAGTAACAAGCCAATGGACTGGAGTGAAGAACGGATAATTGGAAAAACACAGGACCATGCAGAAAAAATGGAGGTGAGGTTATGAAGGTATGTGTATGCTGTGTAAATGAGCTGGTCATTTGTACTGCTGAGGAAAAAATGACAATACTGAGAAAAGAAAAGGAAGCAACAGACTCTAGGTGCGTTGTTTGATTCAAGTTTCCATCCTTTGGAAGTCTTTCTCCTTCCCCAGTTTTCATACCTGGTTTTCTGAAACTTCTTCCTCTTTTCACCCTTTCAAATCACAAATTGCTTGTGGTCCCTGTCTTTCTCTGCTAGGAGCTGGCTTGTCTTTGATTGTTTTCCACAGAAATTATGGTATCTCTTAATTGTTTATGAATTTGTATGCTCACTTATTTTTGTTTATTTTTGCTTATTCTAGTTAAGCCTTCATCTTCTTGTGTCAAAACAGATTAAGTCTTCCTCCCTGACCTGCTTCCAGGGTGTTCTACAGTGCTCAGTACTCAGCACAGGCTTGACAAACTTCTGCTTTGGAAGGATTGGAACAACGACGTCATCATGGTGCATCTTCAGTTACATTTCCTCATTTGCTGTTTCAGATCCATGCTATCACGTGACTGGTATTTTTATAAAGTATGACAGATGGTATAAAATAGATAAGGATGAATTGGGAAAGAGGTAAAACAATGTGCCTCTTCATCACACAGCACTTCCCTCACAAAATGCTGAGTAGATTTTATCGTCTTCAAATTTAGCCGACACTCCAAGTGGCACAACTCCAAGGCTGAGCATTTGCTCTTTAAAATTTTATGCTAATTTTCAATAAGAATATGTAACTACTTTTATTATTTTGAATTTAAAACTTCAGAAAAGTGACACTAGCTTTTCCAAGCAGAATTTGAGCACAAAGCTCTAGGCTAACAGGACTGTCTGCTTACCCAGGCTGGATTTTATGTACTTTAAGCATCAAGAATCTGGAAAACCTACATCTCTGCTTGGAGAGGAGCAGGAGAGCTTTGCATGAATTAAAAGTAATCTCCATGCCTAGTGACGAGCTGCAGAGGGAGGTAAACATCCACGCTGCTGAGCAATCATACCCACAGGTGTTCTTCCTTCCTATCAGACAGATGACTAAGCTTACACTTAAGGGGTACTTGACAGACATTCAAAATTACTGGGTTTTCCTTAAGGGAATAAGAGCAACACTGGTTCGGCTGCCATTTCCCTGCATTCAGGACACCGAGGCAAAGTCGTTGTTTTAAGCATAAATATCTAACAATAAGCACTTTCTAATAGAGTCGTTGCTTGGGTGACTTATTTTCTTCTGTGATAAACTGACATCGGCCTAGCTAAGCACCTTTCCATGCTCACTGGTTTCTCCATTGAATGTAAGAACCTCAGTTAGTGACAAGAGGAACGGTCAGGTCCTTGGATCTCAGGAAGCAGGCATCACGACTCGGAACTTCTCCCCCTACCTGATGTCATCGGTTTGGGGACTATTGCATGTAATTCCAGCCATTTTCTTCTCAGGGAAGTTTTTGCCCATGCTTATGCTTGGAGACCCCACTCTCCAACGAAAATCAATGGAGCACCCTTCTCCAAACCAGTTTCTAAACTTAAAACTTTCTCTGAGTGTGGATTTTGTAACAACTTTGAAACTTGATAGACATTCTACTCTGCTGCCAGCTTTGCGCTCAGGTAATTTTGCTGATATTTAAAATTATTTTTACTATGGAAGGATTTATATCTTGTTTACATTAGACTTTTGAGAAATTATCATAAAGAAAATGTAGGAAGACCCTTAGTAGACCCATGCTAGGTTAAACATCTGTGTACCTTACAGGCTGGCAATTTCAAATATGTGTTATAATTTAAAATATGTTCCAATGTTGTGAGATTTGAAAATAGCTCACAAAATCATATTTATATTAGTATGCTTTTAGAATTATTACTGGTAATCTTATTTGGAGTCCCTTTCTTAGGGAAAAAAAGGAGCAAGTATTTATTTTTCTTTTTATCTCCTAGCATATCAAATTTGTCAAAATATATTTTGCCACAGATAACCTTTCATGAACCTGTTATTTCCCAACCCCAGGACACTAGTCTAGGAGTTTGGTCCTCCTTTAGGCATGAATGCTGCAAAGGAACTCCAAATACTCCATAATCTGTAACAAGTGAGCACACAACCCATCTCTTCATATTAAAGTATTTGAGATCACGATATTTTTCAAAACTATATGCCATTTTCCCAAGGTGCTCATACTTAGTAACTCAATGTAAACTTTGACTGTTGTAAATAGAGTAACTATTTGGAAATAAGAGTACTAAGTAGGTAGATGAACAGACACCAGAAGCTAGGATCAATGTACAAGATCAAATAATCTGATGTTGATCGTATCTGCCTTTTCACACATTTTGAAGGCATATGATTTTCACTTGTGTCTCCAGCAGTGAATTGCTAAATTAAGAGTTCATTACATCAGGAATATCAATTTTCCTCTCCCAGGATTAATATCCCTGATACACATCACAGATATTTTTCAGTAACTCTATACAAATAACAATATATGTAAGTGGGGAAGCTTTATTTCATACTTTCATTTTGAAAATATAACAACTTTTCCTTCCTTCCCTCCTTCCTTCCTTCCTTCCTTCCTTCCTTCCTTCCTCCCTTCCTCCCTTCCTCCCTCTCCTCCCTCCCTCCCATCCTTCCTTTTTTATGACAGGGTCTCGCTGCTGTAGCCCCAGGTGACCTGGAAATCTGACTGCTTCTTCCTCCAGAGTTCTGGGATTAAAGACATGCACCACCATATCTAGTTTATAACAAGTTTTATAAAGTTTATAAAGTTTTATAACAAGTTTTACAAACTACCAAGGACACACAATGACAGTTGATATCAATCTGCTGTGGGACTACAGGTAAAGGTTAATATGTATTTTAATATATTGTAAAATAAGTCTTTCGTGAAAAAGAACCAATATCAGTGCTGATCCTGATCAATAATTATTTGATAATTTACCTCTTTTAAAGCTATCCAACCAAGTTTGGATTTTCAACAACACCTTGAAAAGTGTCTCAAGGTAACACAATTGCTCTAATTACGTGAGATTACTTTCTTCTTGGAACAGTCTCACATTTATCAATAATGATATAACAATGAATAAAATGGTTTCTATAACATCTAAGATTTTATTCTGAAGAACTTACTTGTGCTGATATGATCAGACTTGCTGCTCTTTGGGGCTGGCCTTTCACACTGTGTACCTGACCAGTTAGTGGAGCATCTAGAAGGATTCAAAACAAAAAACAACAAATTAGTAAATAACACATCCCACAAGTTGGATAATACAAAAACAGAAAATAAAATGAGAGCAGACCCAGTCACTGCAGATTCATGTTTATTAGAGGAACATTCTGATTAATATTCTGTACTAGACAATATGCTGTCCGTAACTTCCACTGGACAGCATTTATTGAACTACTTTTCAAAATTCAAGCTTATGGTCATTTTGTCTTTTTGTTGTATTCAACTTAAAATGGTACATTTCATAGCAATATTGAAGTAATGATTAAGAAATAGAAATTAATTGAAGAACTCTTGAGGATTACAAGCAGCCACTTAAGGAAAATTGAGTTTGCATATTAAGCAAATCCTCTTTTTATTAAGTATCTGTGATTTGCCTGGTTGTTCAAAATACAGAATGTAATTAATGACCAGACAGCAAAGAGGTGGCTGTCCTGTAATTTCAGCTATCGAAATCTTACACAAAGAAGAGACAGAAAAATATAGTGCCTTACTATTTTAAATCATACAACTACTACTAAAAGTTATAAACAAACAAACAAACAAAAAAAGATTTCAAGAGAATGTGCTCAAAATTTTACTGAGAATTTTTTTTTACCAGTGTTGGTTTTATGACATTACAATGATAAGTCCAGTAAAGAATAGGAAACGCATAGATCTGATTAAATCTATTCTTTTTGTGGGGTATATTTTTCATAATTTTAGTCCAACCTTAATATAAAGCACACGTACTTAATTAGGTATTTGCATCAAATAAATACTGGACTGTTTTCCCTGAGCTTAAACAATGTTTACTTAGATGCTTCTGTGAGTCTGTCAGAATCAAACCACAGAGAAACAGCTTAATTGGCATCAGTTCTTAGTAAAAACTGATTGTCAAATACCACCATATCACCATATAAAGAACAGTTAAACATAATTTTAAAAAAATGGCTTCCAGAGCCATTCCAAGTGGTTCTCTGTGTATGCAGTGGATCAAACTGACTAACAGTAATTTCAAGGTTTCTGTCAATTTTGTCACAACCAATTGAGATAGCCAGCCGAAAGTGTTTTCCAAACTAAGCTTCTATCATGCCGTATGCACTATTTTTGATTTTTATAAAAGCAGTATCAGCTGTCCTAAAACATTGCCATATCTCATAGAATCATCATATTGACAAACTCAAATCACTAACCTAAACACTGCTGTCTAAAAAAAGGACAGAGTAACTTCAGAATAGTTGACAGTATTGATTCATTTCAAGTATATAGTTACTTGATTAATAATGACAAATTATTGAACTATGAGAATGAAGCATGATTTAAATGAAAATTAATATCATATTTATATTATTATTCAATCACTCATGTAAAAAATCCCAGCTTTTTGTTTCGTTCCCTAGTAGAAAACTTACATGAAATTTAATTTTCTACACATTACATTTACGATAGACTATACTACAGGGAAATCATTAAAGCAGAGAAATTTATATCCAGGTCTATGGCTCTGTTTATAATATTGAATGAATATAATAAGCACCTTTTTCACATAATTAGGATAAAGTGAACAATAAATAAAGTGTTCCATTAAAATATTTCATTACTTCTCATTTGTGGTTTTATAGATTGATGATCTAGAAAAATTGTTCTAATTATTCACAGATTCTAATTTTCAACACACTTCACACTTAATTCTGAATAAAATGTTTAGGAACATTTTGAAAACATATTCTTAGAGTAAATTCTGATTGCAAAGTTCTTCTGTTTTATGTAGATTTACAACTGTCAAATTTTCCTCATTGACCACTGAAGAGATTTGTATGCTTTGATAAAATATTAATACTGATTGCTCAACCTTTTCATTATTTAGCTGATGTATGGACAAGTAAATGTGTGTGATTATAATAAGTTGTTTTTCAAACTTTCAAAGTTTACTCATTACATTATCTTATTTTTGAAAAAGGTAAACTAATGACATAAATTGCTTGAAATATGTTTTATTGCACTGCAAGAAATAAGAATTCTGTTGTCATAATCACAGTGAAATGGTTGAAGTCAGAAAGTGGAATCAACAGAACAGATGCTAATTGAGCAGATTATGTTCCTACATGAATATTTTTTATTTTATGTAATTCATAATGTTACAAAAATATGCCTTATAATTCCAGGCTGGCAGAGTTTGAAATAGATGATGAAGCTAAGTACAGCAAGAACCAACTCTTTAGGCAGGACGGGTGGTATTTGTTAACAATATGATCCAAATTTCTAATCTACCCATAGCATGAAGCACGGTGCTTATGACAGATAAAGAAGTCACATGCTTATGTTTTTTTAAACTTCTCGTAAAATATTGGGACATATTTAAATTCCTAATGTTCAGGGAATATTTTACTTGTTTTATATTGAGAAAAACTAGAAGACTGCACTAGAGGAATAATTAATTTTAACAGTAATACATCTTAATCACTTTCATGATAAACTTGCAATTCTCCTTCTGTTATGTATAAAATAGTGTTTTATGGCCACAGATAAAATAAGATATGTCTCACTGTCCTGCATTTGTTCCAATCTTAAAAATAATCTCCTTGAGATATTAAATCAAATAGAAATCATAATTCTTTTTGCCTGTTTTACAAAATTACAACTTAAGACATTTGCTGCTCCAGAAATTTCTCTTCCAGTGGTTGATTTAAGAACAAGTGTTTTTACCATCTTTATAGAATTGAATAAATCTTTATATCTAAGTAGGCTGCAAGGATCAAAGCCATTAATGGCCCAGCACTGGAGAAATGGAATGTGCAGATCACCAAAATTTCCTGTCCAAATTCCTCACTGAATTATTTGCATAATCATGCTGACTATAATTTCCCTGGCATCTCTTTCCTCTTCTCTTTATTTTCAAGCAAATTTAATCATCCAAGATACGGTCACTTTTGAGTCTGTTCTACTGTACTACTGCTGCCTGCTGTCCACCTAGCAACAGTCACCTGCAACTTAGTTCTGCATCCCACCCCAAGCCTCATCATCACAAACGCTTGCATTTCATTCATAGACAACTATCCTATGGTTATTTCCAAGGCTCTTAAGAATAGAAGCTGGTAGATGAGATTCATCCTATCATTATACAACTCTGAATTGTTTTTTAAACTTTGATGAATGTTAGCTAAGCACTATTGGATTAGACATACACAGTCTCGGTAGTAGATTCTTGTTTAATTAGCCAAATTATAATATATTCATATCCTTCTTTCCATCATCATCATCATCACCATCATCATTTTCAGTAGCCATTAGCCACATGGTAACAGGTCAGTGATTTAATGTTCTTTGACATCTGCCCACTTTTTGTTGGGCCATTGACTTTTAAGAAAAAAATCTTAT